GAGTAAACTTTACTTTAGTGCCTTTCTGGTGTTATTCATTTTGCTTATACATAGACTAATATGAAAGATGTGAGTTAAATGCCTACTTAAGACGAACGTGAAAAATAAGTGCGTACTTGATGAAAAACAAATGAAATGACTGATTTTAAGAACAGGCTATATTGCATTCTGTGAACCTAATATGAAAATGTGTATGTAAAGGGTGGGTTAGAGTTGCCGAAACGAATTGATAAATCGCTATTTTGATTGTATTGCATGTTGTAAAAAGTTTCTTACTACTAGAGCTAGAAAGCCAAGTAAATATGTGTTTTATAGAGGAATTTTTGCTATACTTTTCTGCATAACATAAAACGTCTTACAACGTCCAATGCAATCAAAATAGCAGTTTATCAATTGGTTTCAGTAATTCTGGCCATCCTTTATGTCCAACTATAGTGCAGACTTTAGTCTGTCCGTTGATAAAAGAATAGTTGCTTTAGCAATTTTCTCTCGTTTGTTACGATTAAGGAAAGTTGTAGACATTTGAGAGTTTTAAAGTTAAAAAGAAGGTCACTTTATGACTGAAATGTTAACTATATATTTTTGTAAGAAATAATCAATGAAGAAATGTTTTAAAACACATACAGTAAATTAAATTTTATTAGAAGTTTCAGCTCCGTAGCTGTTATATTTACTGACGTTTTAATCTGAATTAGCTTCTGTATTTTTATCTTGTACTTAGCGGCATCAGAAGTTTCGTTTTTTGCTAGCGGAATAGTTTTATTTTTTCCAAAACAAGATCCTGCGGCGAAAAAAGAATTTTTTTATCACTTTCCTCAGAAATCTTATGTAAGATTGTACTGAATGCCTTCCATCCTACTCTGAGTTTCCAAGCGCGCCCATGGTTGTAAGATCACGTAAAGCAAACTTCGAGTGAAATTTATTTTTGACTTTATTATACATATTCGGATTCCGTTCAACCAGCTGATCCCGAATAATACCTTCCGAGCCCGCAAAACCATTTCTTAATGGAGAAAACTGATAAATTCAGAAAAATATGGCTCGAACTTTTCATCTTGCAATACAACCTCAAAAAGTCCATTTCATCATAGAGGACAGTGCTTTGTTTTCTGAGATCCTCTCAGTAATTTGAGTTTTTTTTCCGTGAAGAAATGATTTTCGGAGGCTCGGAAGGTATTATTCGTGATCAGCTGGTTGAGCTGAATCCGAACATGTATAATAGGAATAAGTTTTTAGTGTTATTTAAAATAAGAATACTAGTTCACCAAACCCGTGGTAACACGAATTGCGAAAATCAACCAATGACTGCTGACTAGCAAGCAAATCTCTTAAGGAAGTATAAAAAAATCACACACAGCATCGACTAGCCTGTTCCCGTCGTTGTTGTCTTGGACAAATTAATGCGGATCATAATAAAATAAGAAGTTACTTAGAACTGGATCTTTTCCAACTCTTCATTGACAAAACAGTCTTCGCCATATTTTATTATGTCGATTATGTCAGTAGATAGAGCCCTGCACAAATAAAAACTGTACGCTACTTGAACCTAAACTGATCCATACCGATACGAATAGAACTAAAAAGAAATAAGAGAGGAAATACATCTAGTTCACACTGCAGATTGTAAAAGAAAAAAAGTTCGCTTTTTTCTAATAATACACTCTTTGTCGTTCAATTCTTATTGCTGTTCAAGGAGAATATACCATAAGATGCAGCGTATTCTGTACTTTCTCGCTATATGTAATATATTTAAAAATAAACAAAGTATAGTATTAAAAATAATAAAAATAAAGAAAAATCCAATTATTTTTCACTGAATATGCAGCTTCTTCTACCGCCTACATTATTTTAACTATATGTGTGACTTTTGAGAATACTACCTGAGAAATAAATGATTCATCCTAAAAGAAGAACAGTCTGACTTTCGATTAGTAAAGAAAGCCTCATTCTATTCTAGGAATTTTTGAAAACATTATTCGAGAATATTGGTTGTGTTAAATTTGGCAAACAACGAAGTTCAAATCGTTAAATGCAAGGAATGACGAGTTTCTCAGAGATCGCAAATCCTTCAGATCAGAATATAAATATCCAGGGCGCTCTTTTAAATAGATTGAAAGAGTCACGTCAAAAGTTTCCTGAACGTTTTTCAAAAGCAATTCATATACTAGCATCTGTCGATGGTAATGTGGATGGTCAATGGAAAGAACGGTTGCAGCAGGCAAGGAACGATCAAAGTGGGGAACGCATTACACTTATTCCTTACAACTTGGGAAATTTTCACTGGATTGGAGTGTTGATAAAATTTAAAGCGGACGGGCAGATTGAATGTGCTGAATTCATTGATCCATTGCAAGAATCGAATTTTATTCCCGATAAGTTACAAAAGCAATTTACTGAAGTTTTTCCAGATGCTATTTTACGGTCAAGAACTTGTCTAAAGCACAACGATCGAAAATCCAGTGCATTAGTAACTATTGTAAACTTATTAAAAGCAGTCGAAGAACCTGAACTTACAGAAATAGAATGTCCAGACACTGATTATTTACACGTTCAAATCGTCAACGATCAACAAACAAGCACTTGTTTGGCTAAAGACAAACAATCAAATTGGCAGCAAGAAGAAAGAAGTGTTCCAACATCATCTTTACTTCAAGGTAATAGTTCGAAATTTTACCGTTCAGAACTAACATCGAGTAGTAAAATAGAAAGCTTGAAAAATCAGGATGCGTCAGAATTACCAGTGAAAGTACCGCGAATAGAAAAACGAATTGAACAGTACGAAGAGCGAGATAGATATAATGATTTCAACAAAGAAATGGACGAATTAACAGAGTCGCAAATAGTTACAGAAAATGTTTACACTTTGATATCCGATCCCTCTATTTGTGAGACAGATAACCGATCGAAACTAAAATCGTATGAAGAGTTGAAGAAACAGTTACAGGATAGTTTAGCTGAATACGATATCAGTAATGAAGAAGAGCTGGAAAAGTTAATAATAAAAAAGAAACAAGAAATCCAGTCTCTGAAAAATGAAGGAAAACACAAAGCTACAACGAAGCGACAAGATTCTTTATCAGACCTTGAACAGCTTCTTCCGTTAGTCGATAAAATCAAAGTTCTAAAACTTGCTCAGTCAAACAATGATTATGAAACATTAAAAACACAATTAGACAGTGGCTTAGCCGACCATGACATTAGTAATGAAGAAGAGCTGGAGAAACAGATAATAGAAAAGAAACAAAATATACAATCTTTGAAGTATGAAGGAAAAGTCAATATTGTACGGAAACGAGAAAATTCTTTATCAGAACTAGAAGAGCTTCAACTGTTAGTGGATAAAATCAAAACTTTAAAATCCTCCCATTCAATTATTGGCTATGAAATGCCAAAGGGACAGATAGAGGATGATCATTTGAATGATGATCCAATGGATAGATGGAAGCAGGAGGAATGTCCGATAACAGAAGAAAGTCTCAGTAACATGTACAAAGATTTTTGTTCTATGCCATCGTGTTCGGAGAGATCCGTCATCAGTTTATTGTATCATGTTTCTCTTAAGTTAGCCAGTAACACGATAGTTCTAGATCAGAGTATCGTAGTACCTGAGCGAATAGAAATAGAAATAGAGAAAGAACTTGTATGTTTGAAAGAACGGTTAGAAATAGAAGAACTAGCATCTTCGGAAATTCGAAATTCAGTTGGAGAAGTCGTAATAAATATAAAAGTTGAAAATTGGAAATCTACTTTGATTCCATTGAGAAAAATTTTCAAAGAGGTTAGTCCATTGAATATGCAAGAAATGTTTAGACTTGTCGAAAAAGTGGACAATACAGCACAGTTAATAAAAAATAAAGACATTATTTTCTTCCTTGGAGGAACCGGATCAGGTAAATCCACTGCTATTCATTTTCTTGCAGGTTCGAAAATGGTTGAAAAAAAAGTAAAAGGATTGAATCATATTGCTCCTGTCGAGATAAAAAACTCAGATCTAAAAGATATAACAACTTCACCATTCTCCAGATCCGAAACTCGATATATCACACCTGTTAGAGTGAACTTTGAAGAGGTTGGCGGGTATAATAGTGGCAGTATTATTTTGTGTGATAGTCCAGGATTTGAAGATACTAGTGGACCAGAAGTTGATATCGCAAACGGAATAGGTATTGTTAAAGCAATAAAAGAATGCAAAAGTGTAAAACCAGTTGTATTAGTTAGTTATAAAAGCATTGGTGATAGATTTGAAGGTCTCAAAAATCTCACTCATATGTTGGTGGGACTAATTTCAGGAATTCAGGACCATATTAAAGCTTTCTCTTATATATTTACAAAATATCCTCTAAACGAAAGAAATACAATTCATGCATCATTAGAAAACATTAGAAAAGCAATGAATGATGGAGAAAAATCGGATAAAAGTTTCATGAATTTCTTTACAGATATGTTGCACAAAACAGAAGATGGTGCACAAGTCATAGATCCAATCAATGATAAGCCTGGAAAGATCCTCGATAAGCTCGCAGAATCTACTGCTATTCATTATCCGGACGAAGTTTTTCAATTTTCTATTACAGAAAAATCTAAAGCTACTGTACAGGAGCAAGTGAGAAAACATCAATTAAGTATCATGTCTGCAACTAAGCGTTACGAATATTTACTTGCAAAACATAAACTTGATCAATTAGAACGTTTAAAGGATCTACTTAGTCTAGAATACATTGAACAAATTTATAATGAGTGTGTTCGATATATAAGTAGACATCTCTCAGAAGACTATGAAGAAGGTATTTCAGCTTTTAATCGTTGCTTAATGAATCAAACAGTTTTGAGCAACGAAGATGTTCAACAGTATCAAGCACGCATTGATCATGCTAAGCTTGCAGAAGAACTAAGGAGTAAGCATTTAGGAAAGAAAGTCATTCATAGCAGCGCGTTTATTCAATATCTGAATCGCCAAGTAGACATTATGCTAGAAGATTTACGAGAAAAAGATATTGATGATTTGTCAGTGAAAATTAGTTTAGATAAAATAAAGATCCTCTCAAATACTTTTCTAGAGATTGATTATAAATATAAAGATACTTGTCAATTATTAGCTAAGAAATTCGACTCCGTGGTTGACTCTTTCGAAAGTACGGTGCTGTCTAATGAATTTGATAAGAGTGCTAGCGAAATAAGAAAATTATACGAAGCAATAACTATTTTACACGATCACTTAGATTGCAAGAATATGGAAGAAAAATACACATGGTTAACGGAATATTTTCTAAAATATTTAAAAGATTCAGCGGGAAAACTGAATCCTATGCTTACTGAAGAAAAATTAGAAAAAAACGGTGTAGATAGCTTAAATAGCTGCGTATGTATGCTCGAAACAGCTAGTAACACATTTGCTCTCCAACCACACGTTTCGAAGGAGGCTATCAATGAAGTTTATGAAGATTTTTTATTCAAAATCATGAACCATTATACACAAATTAGAAAAAAAATCGAGGCGCAGCTTGAGAAAGAATATTCATTTTATGTATTAGAACAGTTAGTAAAAGAGATGACTTTAATCAGAATAATTCCCAGTATTGAATCGAAAACGAATCGATCCTATTATGATACATTAGGAAAATTATGTGGACGCATACAAGAAAGAAGAAGAGATGTCGAAGAGATATTAAAAGGCTTTTTTCGACCAGAAGAAAAAATTAATTATGATAAGCTCACAAAATGCATATCTAGTCTAAAAAGTGCGAAATGGATTGACGAGTATCAACATGGAGTGTATTCGGATCTAATGGATAATATTGAAGAACAGATTATTAAGCATGTAAAAAAATTGCAAGAATCTGCGATGGAAGTAAATTTAGATCTTGATAATTTTGATAAAATTGAGCATGTATATAAAGTAGTATCTGAAATCAATGAAATTAAACATGTCATGGAACTTGTTCCGACTGTAGGTCAACATATAGATGATGTTAATTCTTGGTTTAAAGAAATAACAAATAATGTATTCTGCGTTATTAAAGATACGTTTAGTTTAGAAAAGTGGAAGGAGCAAGGGTATCAAACCCTGGATTTTAGTAAAGCTGAAAAAGCATTTCATTATTTGGATGTTTGCAGAAAAATACGTATTTTGTTCAGTAGTGATTGTATGTCTGTGCTTAACAGTTTGGAAGAGTTCGTAAGACACTTCAGTAATTTTGTTCAAAAAGAAATGGAAAACTGTTTTACAAGTATCAAACAATATGAAAATAAAAATAAGGAAGATATGTTCGAAAAAGTTCGAATACTGTTAAATCGTCTACAAGACGTATCTGAAATAAAGACAAAATATCCGCGTGTTTTTTCTTATTTTTCAAATCAAAAAGTAATTGAGCATTGGCAAAACGAATTATCTGATTATTTAAGAGAGTTATCAGATGAAATGCAAAAGTTGAATGTCACACAACAAGTTGAAGCTTTAAACACTGAGCTATTAGTTGTAAAAGCGTTAAGTAAATTAGATGGTTTTTTGGTAGGCGAAAAGTATATCGATGTCTATAAAACATATCAAAACATATTCTTGTCACAAAGTAATGATGTTTGTAAACAAGTAATAGATGCTATTAAAAATTTCGATTATGAACGAGTCACTTGTGAAATGGTGGTTTTACACTCGTCAAATATAGTAGGAGAACACTTTTACAAACAAGCTAAGCGAGTTCTTAATAGTGGTTTAAAGGATTTGATAGAGGATACTAAAATTCAAGCGATTATGCTAGGAAATAATATAGAAATAGAGGGAATAAAATCTATAGTAGAAAATTTGAGGCGAATGCAAAGAGCAAAACAGTTTACATCGCAATACCTTGATGCACCAGACGAAATAGATGGATGTGTAGCAGAAGTTAAAAAGTTGATTGAAGAGCGGATAAAGAGTTTCTTAAAAGGTGTAAAAGCTCTCAGTAATATCAACAATTTCTATGAAGCAGATAAAAAAATAGATTCAATCACGTTGGTGCGTACTTTGTTGGGAAAGTATTGTACTGAAGATATTTTCAACCAAATCGAAGCATTGAAAGAAAGTCAAAATAATGTTGTGTTAAAAGATGTAGTAAATAAATATTCAGAAATGGATATCACTGGATATACCTTGAACCCACCAACAGATATTTTTGAAAAATTCAAAGTAGCCAACAATACAAATCCGATTTATAATCAGGCCTCACAGATTATACAGGAGAAAATTGTTGCTAAATTCAGAGCCGAATTAGAACAAGCTAAGTCGCAAAAGCCGCCTGAGCCAGAAAACTTACATATAAGAAAGTTTGAGTCTGCAGTTAAGTATTTACCGGAAGGTATGAGAAATGCTCTTGAAGTAGAATTAAAACATTGTAAAGATGATATTCTTCAAATTATTCTATGTAACGATAATAATTTAACTACTGCATTTAATAGTGGAGATCTAAAACCTATCAAAAATTTTCTTCTCGAATATCAAAGTTCAAAAGTTATGCAGCCTTCTGTTACTAAGAGTCGAGAGGTTGTTTTGAAACAAGTACAAGAAATTACCTTGAAAATAAATCAAAACTTTGAACAACATGATATTAGAGAAGCATTAGGTAATGTACAAAAACTATATGAATACAAAATCGAATTAGAAAATGTTGTGGACTTTAGGCGATCATGTTCAGAAGTACAATTACGAATTACAAAAACATTCCAAGACGCATACCTTGGTTTTATGAATCGATTTTTTAATCCAAATATATCAGTAGTCACTAATGAGACAGTTGAAGCGGGAGAGAAAAGTTTTATTTGTTTAATTGAGTTTATGAAGTTTACAGATGAGCTTAAAGATCAACATATTTTGAGTCAAATGTTTCCGGAAGATTTTAATGAAAAAATGAATCGTTTGATCGGAAAAACTTTCGACTATTCTAGTGAACATCAGAAAAAGTACAAAGATGCTTTGGAAAAAATAGATATTGTATCTCTTGTAGATATTCTGGAAACTACGTATAAGTGGAATTTCTTATTTACAAAAATAGAAAGTTCTGCTAGTATGTATAGTAATAATGATACATTAGTGAATACCTTTATCAAGGTTATAGCAGAACTGACACCTTATTCACATATGTTAGATTCAGTATCTCATAAAATTGAAGAATTAAGAGGCGAGCTGATTAATAAAGAACTTATCAATGACGATACGAAAGAATTCAGCACACATCGAGATGAATTTTATAGGAAATTAAATGAAAAACTTTCTATTCTGAACAAGGCTAAGCTGCTTGGTGAGCATAATATAGGTATTGATGTAAAAAAAGTTGAACAAGAATGTCAAGAATCATTAGAGAGAAAAATCAGAAAAATTTCCTCAGCTATTGAGACGTTTTTGGAAAAATTTTCGGAAGAATCCAGATTGACAAGACAGGAATACGACAACTTTGATTTGTACTATACTAACTTGACTTCATTTAAACAAGAAATAAAAGTGACGCCACATTGTGGGATTCACGAAAAAATCGAAAAAATTGATAAAAGATTTTTTGATAAAATTCAAACGTGGGAAAGGTTAGCTGAAAGGACATTAACGGTTCAAAATGTTGCGACAAGCTTGATAAACATGAAGCGCGCTGCAAATCATATTTCTTCGTTTAAGGTCAGGATAAATGGAAGAATAGATGAAGTGCTAAATCATTATAGAAGTACGGCAAAAGATGCCATGGCTCTTGCAAAGTTAGGTGCAATTTTAAACCAAGATAAAAGCGGTACAGGTCAAAGTATTATTTCAGAGCATCAAATATTTCAAGGTTACTCGTTGTCCCTATTCAATGAAAAAACTCGAAAGCACGACATAAACTATGTACTACAACATTTAAAGGGTGACTTTGTTGATAAAAATCAGTTGAAAAAACGATACGACGAATTTCATGCTACCTATGAGGTTTTAATCAAACAGTATCTTACACCCAATATCGAACTAGATAAGTTAATTTCTGACATTAAACTAATTGCTGGAAATACTAAACAAGAGCCAAACTGTATTGTGTGGGACGCACCTGTAAGAAATAAAGTTCCAAGGCTAACGGCACATATTTTTGCCTTGTGGACACTTAAAAACGCAGAACATTACTTTGAAGCTGAGGGCTCAGAAGATAAGAACAACTATCTTCTTCAGCCTCATGCAGCCCAAATAATCTCTATCTTTCGCATGCTCGGTATTGGTGATACGAAAGAAGAATTGAACAACAATTTGGTACAAATAGGGACTGGCGAAGGAAAATCTGTCACATTAGGAGCCACAGCTTCACTATTTGCACTGCTTGGTTTTGATGTACGCTGTGCATGCTACAGTGAGTATTTAAGTCAGAGAGACTACACAGCGTTTCTATCGTTATTCGATTCCTTGGGTTTACTCAACTATATTCGTTACGGTACCTTCAATAAACTATGTGAAGATATGATTAATGAAAATGGTGACATTCGTCAAATAGTAGAACATTTAGTTTCTAAAGGGTCCAATGATGCAATACAAAATAGACAACACATTAAGCGTGCTAAAATACTATTAATTGATGAGGTTGATGTTTTCTTTAGCCGAGAATTTTATGGCAATGTATACACACCATCAGCTAGCTTGCAAGATTCTAGTATCACATCGTTGGTCAATTCTATTTGGACACAGAGAAAATATTTAAACCTCAAAAGAGTGAAAGCTACAGCTGAATATAAAGTTTGTTGCGACAGATTTCCGAAATGGGAGTTATTGATTGAAGAAGCTGTCAAAGATATGCTTTCTGATGTAAATAACTATGAGTCTCATGATTATGTTGTTAATCAGGATAAAATTGGATATATAGAACAGGATAATATTGTATACAATGTTGTTTATGGTTATAAAACTTTATTTGCATATCATTCTGAATATGAGAAGGGTAATGTCAGCAAAGAAAGTCTAAATGAAAATATAAGTATAAGAATCAAGTGCGGCAGTTTTTCATACGCTGAAATACCACTCCAGTTTAAATATATTATGGGTGTTACGGGAACGTTAGAAACTCTAAGTGATCCAGAGAAGCAAGTAATACAGAATGTGTATAAAATCGCTAAAAATACATATATCCCATCTGTGTTTGGTCAAAATAATCTTAAATTTATCGAAAAAGATGATATTATGATTGAGAATAGTGATGATTATTTTAATGTTATAAAGAGAGAAATTGATAACAGATTAGTAGGTAGATCATCAGGAAAACGTGCTGTATTGGTCCTTTTTGAATCAAAACGAAAATTAAGAGAATTTTATGATTCAAATGTCTTGGCGCCACTAAAAGAATTGGTTGCTTATCTAACAGAAGAAGCGTCACTAGAAGAAAAGGAGAATCGGATTAAACGTGCAACTGCGTCTGATCAAATAACTTTATTAACCAGAACTTTTGGCAGAGGAACTGACTTCATATGTCATGATCAAAATGTCACCGCAAATGGCGGTACTCATGTCATTCAAACATTCCTTTCGGAAGAGTTGTCAGAAGAAGTGCAAATAAAAGGTAGAACTGCGAGGCAAGGGAATTTTGGATCTTACAGTATGGTGTTGCTTGATCGTGACCTAGAGAAATTTCATATTGAAAAAGAGAACATTGAAGATGTTAAAAAAGGTAAAGGAATTCTAACTCGTATTGCTGGTGCGCTTCACCTCACAGAGAAAAGATATGATACGGTATATGCTCTACTTCATGACAAACGTAACTGTTTATTTAAAACTCAATATGAAGCCAATACAAAGTATGTTGAACAAGCAAAAGAAAGACATCAGGCTGCTCAAAATTTTTTATCAAGTCTTAATTCTGGAGAGATCGATTCTGTTAAAAAGTTTTTAGGTGAAGAAAATAAAGGAGCAGAGGGTAACTGGAAATCACGGACTGTTTGTCTGATGGATGCAACGGGTTCAATGGTCCATTTGTTGTATAATTGTAAACATACAGTGGGCACTATGTTTGAGCGCGCTTCTGAAATTCTGATAGATCATGGCATCAGTTCAGATTCATTCCAAATTCAGTTTGTTGTGTACCGAAACTATGATAGTCGAGAAGATAAGATCCTGCAAAGTTCTCCTTGGGAGACAAAGCCAGATAACTTGCGTGCATTCATGAATAAAATTGAGGTTGAGGGAGGTTGGGGCAATGAAGCGATTGAAATTGGTTTATGGCATGCTAATAGAGAAAATGAGAGAGAAAATATCACGCAAGTTATTTTGATAGGTGATGCGCCTCCAAATACAAAGAACGAAGTAAATGAGAAAAGACAGAGGTATGGACAAAGCTTTTGGAAAAAAACTAAATTTGCACAGTCAACCTATTATGAAGACGAGTTAGCAAAACTGGAAGTGGATGGTATTCCAGTACATGCTTTTTTTGTCGAACAGCGAGCGGAAGAAAGTTTTAAGAAGATTGCAAAGAAAACAGGAGGACGATGCGCAATGTTAGATATAAACTCTTCTTCAGGCTCAGAAATGCTGACAGATTTGGTGACTGAAGAGATTCTACGGAATGTCGGGGGTTGTTTAAAAGGAGATGATCTTGTCAAAGCATATAGAAACAAATTTGGAAAGAGTTTTACATAGAAAAATCCGCTTTTACGAAAATATTTTATTACTCAAAATTACCTAAAATCAATTTTTGTACATATACAAACTCCCTTAAAGTTCTTTGAAGTTCATATTATTTAAAAAGTATTTCATATTCTGTATCGCTGTGTACTTTCACTGATTTGTGTCTACGTACTACTGTTCCCCACATATTAATTACATTAAATTAGAGACCGGTCTGATTTGTGAACATCTGCAATTTACATAATATCTAGATGTTCAGATATTCAGATATCTTCCTCTTTTCTTTCACGGTGGCGAATATCAGGAAGCGCCTCACTCTCATCTTCCCTTGCCCCCCACCTTCCCTTTTCCCCATTTCTATAACATCTGAATATCTAAATATCTAACTTGAATATCAGAATATCTGAATATCTGAACATCTAGATATACATCTAGATATATTATGTAAATTGCAGATT